TGGGGGGTGGAGAGAAAGACACCTGGGAAGAAAGTAAGACCTCTGTGTGGGAGCGACCTCAAGGGGGCATCACGGGTCTCAGCAGTAGCTGTCGGTGGCATCTTCATGGCTGCCCCATTACATCTGAGAGGATTACTAAACTGCCTCCCCGCCCCTGACCCCCATAAGTGAGATTACAAGGTGGTTCCAGACATGCTTGGGTAGAATTATAATCTAATGACGTCACCAGGAGCCACAAGGGTTGCACAAGGAGGTTGGGCATATCCTTTTACCATCAAGGAGCTTTCTGGTGAGATCAGGTAACTGCAGTTTACCATTGGGAAAGGAGAAAGTCCTTAAGCAAATGTAAATTAGGCTGAAAAAAAGGTTTTGTTTTTGTTTTTCTAAGACTGGTCTGTCTACATAGCCTTGGCAGTCCTGCAAACCACCATCTCACAGAGATCTGCCTGCCTCTGCCTCTCTCAAGTGCTGGAATTAAAGGCTAGTGCCACCTTACCAGGTTCATGCTGGAATTCTTGATTCAGCTGGCAAGAATCTCCTCTCCTTTCCTATGTCCCCCTAAGTTTCGCAGTCTGTCCTGCCTCAGCGTGGGGTGTCGGTTTGGAGTACATGAGTTGTCAACGAAGCTGGTCTAGAGTTTTGTGTCCTAGCAACTTCAGACGCTTGGAGATGTTTTGAGATGTGGTGTTTTTATTCAAGGACCTTTGCTGGTGATGTCAAAACTTACCCAGTGCTTTTGAAGACATGACTGTTTTACCGGTGATGCAGGCCTTGCCCAGACTGGACAAGTTTTGTGCGCTAAGCTGTCTCTCCAGCCCCTTTTTCTTTGAGACAGGCAAGCCTCGAACTCATCTCTGTAGTAGTCCAGCCTCCTAAATGGCTGGAGTTGTAGGCCTGTGACACCAAGTGCAGCTTAGGGGACCTTCTAAAAATCAGTCATTTGTGGTTTAGGAGATAAAAATGTATTGGCTATAACTTTGTTTATTAATTTGCTTGTTTTTTTT